AAAGCTGGATTTCAAGTGTGTCTACTAAAGGTATAAACTATTTATGTTGATGCATGCGCATGCTATGTACCTAAGTATATTTCCTTCAACGATAAGCATTGATTAGTGATACATTTTAGTGTAAACATTTGGAATATTTTTGAGCTGATCGTTAACATTATTATTTTGAAATCGATACCGCAGGGGGTAATTAAGTATGCCAAGCATTTAAATTTAAATCGCACAGTGTGTCTGGGCTACCTATGAATTAACTGACTTATTACATGATTGAGAAGGTTTTCACAAAACAGCTCTTACGCTTGTGGGACGTAACACAAGGCTGAGTATGCGCACTATATACGCTATAAAATGTGGTCAAGCATGCGCAGTATATCATTTCACGTCCCACAAGCGAAAGAGCAGATGTTACTGTATAAATTCCCTGCACAAGCAAGTTTGATGGTTGATCCAGCTAGTCCTCGTGCGCCGAATGATACATACTCTTACCTAATGGTAGAGTTTTGACGGGCTCTGAGGTACACGGCTGTTGTCTCTTTCCCGACTGGAGACGGTACAGCGTTTATCGAGTTGGGAAAGAGACTAACCTCTCATTAGGTACTTACCCAGATAAGTACATCATGAATATAGTTTTAGTGAGGTATTTATCTAGATAAATACCTCATTAAACTATTCATGAGGTATATATCTAGTTAAATACCTCATGTAGTTTAAATACCTCATGTATTTATCTAGATAAATACCTCATTAAACTATTCATGAGGTATTTAATACATAATTATTCAAGTGCAATATAGATATATTGCACTCAAACTGAGTGCAATATACATATATTGCACTGGAGCTCAGCGCAATATACAGATATTGCACTAGAATAGCTAATTAGTAATTCAATTCATCAGCCCCACTCTTCCCTGCTGAATGTCAAATCCCTCCCCGGGCTTTTATATACTTGAAAGACATTATGGAAAATAAAGGTCTATGAATAACAAAGAAAACCACGTCAATCATGTAATAACTAATTTTAATCATTTTAATCATCGCCTGAAAATATGTAAAAACAAAGATGCTAACCTGACTGCCTCGCAGACACCATTACTTGAAGAAGACAGAAACACAACAGCACTTTGAACAGCATTCTCTTTCCGTTGATCTTTTTCAAAATTTCGTTCGAGTCCAAAAACCTTGATGTTCACTTTATGAGCTGACGTGTGATATGAAAGCAGCAGTGTTGTCGTATTGTAATTTAACATTTCTCTTTTAGACTTCCTTCAGCTTTGTAATTTGCATTTCGTTTCAGCATTGCATTGTGCTCTTGATCCTTGTAATTTGCATTTCGTTTCAACATTGCATTGTGCATTGTGATCTTATTAAGATGTGTTCATGCATATCCTGAATGAAAAGCAGACCTTCAGGTTCTAGGCTAGATCCCGTACCATTAAAAATTCTTATTAAAACCGTCAAAGCATCGCTATGTAAAGGCCTAATTCAAGAACGGCGAAATTCTTCGCGCGAAATTGTGTCTGCAAAATACGGATGGTTGCACATGACTCATGAGTGAAGGCCCAGGCTCACCGGACACGATTCGGCGACAACGTGACGCAATTTTTCGATTTTCATTGACCGATAACTTTGATCCTGGTTTAAGTTTTTCAAATATTTAGAAGCTCTATAACATTTTGAGTTATTTGGTCTACATATCTTTAAAATTTCCTTTCATTAACTGTTATTAATTAACTTTCCAAAATTGGAAAAGTCGCGTCCCGTTGTGTTGAATCGCGTCCGGTGTGTCTCTGCCTTGATTCTATTAAATTTTCCGGCTTCTATTCACTGGTGAATTAGCGAAATTTTCTCTTCATTTCACTCGTAGAAGGCTCATTATTTAAGTTATCAGAACTGATGCTATATTGTGCATAAAACACTGCAAATACATGAGGAAACTTTATACCATATCCCAATGTTCGCGATGCAAGCCAGAATACCGCTTGCAAAAAAGCAATGTTACACTTTTTTCTATCGTTGTGCATTTTAGAATTCTTTTATGTTTTTAACTAAAGCGAAATTCACACATTTGTTTGAAAAAATAAACATCATGTTTGTTTCTATTTTGAAGTCGCGCGAGTTACATGCGATATTTCATTTATGCTCGGGAAGTGGAAAGTGCTTTTCACGCAATTTGATTGGTTGCTCAGCTCCGGATATCCTTGCACTATTCACTTCCGGACAAAAACAAAATGGCTTCCCGTTTCGTTCCGGTAACAGAGGAGCCAATTTTGGTTTCATTTTCATGTCACGCAGTCACGAAATATAAGTGGCTAGGAGGTTAGGGTTAGGGATTAGTTTATTTCGTGATTGCGTGACATGAAAAGATAATCCAAATTTTTGTGCTACACGCAGCTGCGGTTTCGCCAAACACGAAGAAAGCCACGCAGTTTTGTTTAAAATCGTGTGTAGAGGTATTCTTTAAAGCTGTTTCTAGTGAATAAAATTACTAAAAGCGTGTAAATCTTGTTTACAACTATTACGGGAGCTTAAGTAAAATCTTTAATGCGTGCATCGAATGTGTATAGGCACCATAGCCGTATTCCTAAATTTGTCCATGATTTTATGCCTGGAAAATGTGCTGTGTTTCATTTCCGCTAAGCAAACAGAATTCTCAGTACTGAAATTAAGTGAACCTGAAGTAATAACAGGCTAAAGAATACAGGGCAAAAAAGAATCGCGAAAAATATTCAATTTGTATTATAATATTATATATATTATTTAAAAAACTCATTAATAATTCAGGAGCAAAACACAAAGAAAAATCATAAGCGTGGCGTGGTTTTATATGTGATAAAAAATCATGTTAATTTACATAAACTTTAGCTTTGATTTTCTCGGTTTAGACAAAGTTTATTTTAAAAATTACTTCGCCAATGAACTCGTATAAGATCAGTCGTTTTTTAAGCCATTTAAAGCACTTGTAGTCGTGTTTTATCACATATAAAACACTCCGCTACGCGTCGTGTTTTATATGTGATAGTTTACTCCTACGCGTGCTTTAAATAGTACATATTATAATAATATTATATAATATATTATAATTCTATCATAATATTATATATTATAATATATAATTATTATAATAACTATCTGTTACTAGAGTTGGTCTTTTTCATCCTCTTTCCCAGTCGACTCAGCTATCGAATAAGTACCTGGTCTATAGGATCCAGTCCAAATGAAATTGTTCAGTCTTATTCGTCTAACAAGTCGTAGCACTGGATGAAGTTTTATCAAATCCTAGGATTGCATGAAGGTTGTTCAAGTCCTATAGGACTGGATGAAGTTTGCTCAAGTCCTATGACTGGATGATGTTTGATCTAGTCCTAGGACTGGATGAAGTTTGATCAAGTCCTAGGACTGAATGAAGTTTGATCAAGTCCTAGGACTAGATGAAGTTTGATCAAGTCCTATAGGACTAGATGAAGTTTGATCTAGTCCTAGGACTGGATGAAGTTTGATCTAGTCCTAGGACTGGATGAAGTTTGATCAAGTCCTAGGACTGGATGAAGTTTGATCTAGTCCTAGGACTGGATGAAGTTTGATCAAGTCCTAGGACTGGATGAAGTTTGATCTAGTCCTAGGACTGGATGAAGTTTGATCTAGTCCTAGGACTGGATGAAGTTTGATCTAGTCCTAGGACTGGATGAAGTTTGATCTAGTCCTAGGACTGGATGAAGTTTGATCTAGTCCGAGGACTAGATGAAGTTTGATCAAGTCCTAGGACTGGATGAAGTTTGATCTAGTCCTAGGACTGGATGAAGTTTGATCTAGTCCTAGGACTAGATCAAGTTTGATCAAGTCCTAGGACTGGATGAAGTTTGATCTAGTCCTACGACTGGATGAAGTTTGATCACGTCCTACGGCCGAATGAAGTTTGATCATGTCCTAGAACTGAATGAAGTTTGATCAAGTCCTAGGACTGATTGAATTATGATCAAGCCGTAGGACAGGAGCAAAGTCCTCGGACTGGAGCACATTTTTGGACTGGAAAAATTCAATCATTCTCCAAATAATCATTCTTCATTCAGTTTCTCATAGTTTGTTCTGTCAGCTAACTATCCTTGTTCTGTCAGCTAACTATCCAGTATTGATATCCATCCAGTTCGAAACGTTACATCTAAAATGTGTTTATATTGAATTTGTTCAGCAATGCCAGAAGAGAGAGATCTCATATCTGTGAACTATGTCAGTCCGCTGGTGTTGAGGAAGGAGTTGGAGAATCTAATGGATAATGAAGGCGTAGGGGTCCTGGAATCACCTGATATCATCAAAGAAAAACAAGTGATTTTCTGGAATATGGTTAGTGTGGAGCATGTATCTTTCATCCCTGCGATGAGGCAGTTTAAATAAAGTTAGTTCAGTTTAGGTTTCCTCTTGCAGTAACACAGCGTCAATAAGGGATTGATTTTACTTGACCTCTAGGAGAAGAGTTTAGTACTGAAAGAGCTATCCAGTATAATATTTATAATTGAAGTTAATTTAGCTCAGGTTTCCTCCTGTAGTAATACTGGATTAATAAGAGATGATCCTTACTGGACCACTAGGAAGAACAGTTTCCTAATGAAAGAGCTATCCAGTATCAATAAAGTTAGTTTAGTTAGCGTTTCCTCCTGTAGTAACCCCAGGCTTCTATATAGGAAGAACAGTTTAGAACGGATAGAGTAATCCAGTATAAATAAAGTTAGTTCAGGTGTATGAACCTTACAGAACAGTTTAGAACTGATAAAGCTATTGAGTATAAACTACCTTATGTTGCTTTAAAAATTTTTACTTATTTTTTTAATTTAGGCTTGGTATTTCCAGCGTCTTAATTTACCGACACATTTAACGGACCATATTTACGGCAATTACGCGGATGAAGAACGCTCTAAGGTATGGTAAAGTTAGCTTCTTTTCCTCGCTAAAGTCTGATAGTCTGTCATACACGTAAAAATCTCACAACTTGTCAACAAGATGTGTTCGCAACAGACTTGTAGCAAGTTTGTCAACAACTTTTAACAATGCTCTTATTTCATCAAGTTGCTACAAGGTTGTCACTCCCAACTTGTTGACAAATTGTTAAATTGCAAGACGATGTCACAAGTTGTTAGAACAACTTGTAACAAGTCTGTTGACCCGCGCGATCTTCCCTTTCCTGTGTCCCTGCTTTTGGCCATTGCCAGGCCCGTATTTCGGTCCCTGTATATGCATGGACAGTCGCCCGAAGATTGGCTTACAAAAAATATTTTTGAGGGATGATTATTATTGATTAGGCCGAGGAAAAAAGTGTATTCTGTTTCTGGTCAGCTTGCAGGTCGTCTTTGACTATGCGCGTCAACGGGATTTTTTTTTGAAAGTCGCTGATCATCTCAAGGACATTTTCTTCGCTGGTTAAGGAAATCTACTGAAATTTTGACACGAATATTACATGTTCATGAATAAGTGTTAGTAGTCAAACGTACTGTATGTTTTGGCGTGATTTTCGTGAGAGAATAAGTTCTTGTGATATTATTGGGGCTCCAAGGATAAAACACACATATTTCGCTTGAAAATCACGTTTGTTGATGTACATTTCACACAAATTGCCGAATATCAAAAATTGCTTTGCTCGCACATTTCTGGTGGCGTAATTTGTTACGTCACCTATTGGCAATAAAGTCTACCGGGCATATGAGCCCCAATACCGGAGAATATTTCATTTTGATATATTTGTATTATTCTATAGTAGTTCTCATTTTATTTTATGCAAGCTTGGTGACAGTTTAACATTAAGCAGAAATGTACTCGCCGCCAGAAGTGACCCCCACCCCCCAGTGAAGGTTCCTTCTGTCTAAAATATAAGCAAGGGAAGAATAACTTAGTTAAGAAGAGTATTTTAGTAATCCCATGACCAAATCTTTGTCTAGTGGATGAAATATATAAAAAAATGCCGAAAATCAAGCTCCAGACACTTAAAAATACAAACTTTTTCTGTGCCAGACATGTTCCCACTTTTCCCGTTTACCACCACCTAGTTGGGTCCCTTCCTCTTGATGGCCCCTCTACTGACAAATTCTTAAAAGAGCTCCTGGCAAAAAGCGTTCCATTGAAAAAGAAATGGAAAAAGCCGCGCGTCAATTTTGGACAGACAAACTGACAAGAAACAGAATACCTTATTTTGGCGATGCAACCTAGGATGAGGTGCGCTCCGAAAAAGAAAAGATAGCCAGCTATTAAACTTAGTTAAAATATGTGTTGTTCAAGAAACTCGACTTTCAGTACAATCTTTTTGAAGGATTTTGATGGCCAGGTTCACGTATCGACATCGTGGGACTTGGATCGACCTATTGACGACGACCACATTCCGTTGTATGTTTTATGGAATGTACCAGGTAAGTTATAGCTTAAAGCCAGTTTTCCACTTGCAATTGTTACTGCGAGTTCTAGTGGGATTTTCTTCTTAGATAGATAGATTATGCACGCTGATCCTATCAACCGAAGCTGATTTCCACGAGGGGCGTGTGCCAAAGTTTTAAAAAGATATAGAGTATTAAAATAGTAACATATTAATGTCTAATGAGAAAGTTGGTAGACTATTTACAGGTATACATTATTTACAATGCTTATATCACATACTCGACCGACCTGACCGCGTAGCTCATGCAGTTGGCAGAGGCATTGGGCTAGTATTCCAAAGGTCGTAGGTTCGATTCCCACCGTGACCAGGCATATTTTTCAAGCTTTACCGGTGTGGATATACACTCAGAGTAACCAGATTGCATAACTAGAAGTCTGCTGTTGAATGACTTAGTTTAGTCATGGTCGATAATTTGCTTTTCAGCTCATGAACACCAAGACGCAACTATAGATGAAAAATCCTGGACTCCAAGAAGGTAAATCATTACGAAGTGGAAATATTAAAAAATCCAATGCTTTTATATTTCAAAAACGCGAGCTTAAAATCTTCTATATTTGAGGGTTGATGTGAATATGTTTTCTATAGTGTCGTCCAGTCTGTCGTCGCTAATATAAAGGTCAATGACATTGCCGATCCATTTGGATGTCTTTTTGAAGAACGGAACAGACAGAAGCTTATTAATCCTAACATTCAATGGTAAGTTGTCGAGTTACCCAGTATATTAGAGTTCCAGAATTAGCGCTAGACAAGGACAGTGGCCTATTTTGCTCAGGACAGTGCAAGGATACTCAACGAAACGCGAAGCGTTGGCCGTTGAGGTCATAGATATCTTATATACACTAGATAGCGCATCTCTTTTAGTAAAATTGAAGCCAAGAATATTCCAGCGGTTACCCCCATTTGAATAGATGGCGGCCATGTTTGGTGTTTCCCACTCGCTAATAAACGCTTAAAAAACAACAATAACTTTCATCATTTGAATAGTTTAAAAATGTATTTGGAATAGGTTTACCTATTAAGTTTCGTGTTTAAGAAATAGAAAACATACGAATCTTCTCATTTCATGGGAATATCCTGAGTCTGCAATCACGGCTTCAATTTTTGAATTGTAGAATAATTAGATGCACTATCTAGTGTATATAAGATATCTATGGTTGAGGTCATACAGGGTGTCCCAAAAACCCAAAACTATATGTCTTAATAAGGACTGGGTACTTGGGTCAAAAACGTTTTTGACAGCGTATAACTCGAAAACAATTTTAGATATAAAGAAAACTGTTTAAATGTGTCTTATATGTAGGTTTGTAAGCATTCACAAGAAAGTACAAGTCATTTTGTTGTAATTGAATACAAAAGAATTTACATTTTCTTGCTGTAATACAATTTAATAGGGATATGCGATGCTTGTTTTCTCGGTGTTGGGCACGTTTTTTTCGGCAAGGAACTTTTGTGGTAATTGAGCATCTATGGTTCTATATATGAATTGAACGACAGAAAATCTATTTCCCAGGAGGGTGCCACGAAATTGCTTTCTAGACACTTTTCGCACAACAGCCCGGCCTAGTTTTGGAGTTTTTTGGGACACGGGTACTGAGGTTATTATTTGTTTCAGCATGCATATACCACAATGGAACAAGAATGACCAAAAACAACGAAATTTGTTTTTTTGTATATCAGATAAAGATCGGCTGCATGCTCATGTTTTAACTAGTTCTTATTTCTACGTTTTAGGAGTATTTATAGAGAGATGCTGTTCCTATCATTGATGGCTTGTGGCTCTGACAATATTAACATAGGTAATTGTGGTACGTACTGTACATGGCGCCCGAAAGAAAATCAACACCATTATAAGCTCACTAAAAGTTGACACCGAACTGTTGCGCATCACGTAGGGCTAGCTGAGATGAAACGTGCATCCACGATGATTAATATTTATTAGGCACAGTTCAGCTTTTTGATTGATGGTTTTTAAGGCGCGTTTCAGCCCTTTTAATTGAAAAAAACTAACCAGGAAAATCAATTAAGCATAATTCAAGATCAGTAAACTCAATGTTTTTAATAAATAAAAGTGTTTTAAAATGTTAAAAACATTGAGTTTGCTGATATTGAATTACGCTAATTGATTTTCCTAGTTAGTTTTTTCAATTAAAGGCCTGAAATGCGCCTTAAAAACCATCATTCAAAAGGCTGAACTGTGCCTTTAATGAAATTGAGACAAAGGATTGAGACAAAGGATTTGTGCACGGTGAAGTACAGTTCAACATCAAACAAAGGTCTTCTATTTTGTAGCTTTGAAGTCTGCCGGATTTTCCAGACCATCATGTCTTAACAGACCATGGTTGTCCACAGCTAGTAGCTGAAGCCCCGTTTACACTACGCTCAATTTTTGGTACGGCACGGATAAAATTGGTACCCGTACCACTTTTTCGGTTCTTGGACTACCTATTTAGCTAAGCCCCGTTTACACTACGCTCAATTTTGGGTACCGTACCACTTTTTGGTTCTTGGACTACCTAAATAGGTAGTCCAAGAACCAAAAAAGTGGTTGCCGTACGAAAAATTGAGCGTAGTGTAAACGGGGCTTAAATAATGTTTCAACTTTTAATGCACACATTGTCTTAACATCCAACAGTCGACCTCCAAATCATCACAGGCAATATTTCAAAATTCTCAAATTTTCGGCTATAAAGAGAGTTGCCAACATACTGTATATGGTCTTCATAAATGTCATACCCTAAGGAAATGTCAGTGCCAAGCATGCCATCGAAGAAATTTTGGTGTACATTTTCAGATTTGTACGAGATTGCCTCTTCTATAGAGGTATACGGATGGGGGGGGGGCAAAAACAACAGTACCACCCCACAAACTACACATCCCATTTCTAATTACAGATTCGTTTGATCGAGAGTACAAACGGACATACCGCTATCTACATCGTGATGGTAACAGCGGTACCTACCCTTTGACAAATGAAGATCATCCGCTGCCCACACGCGCTATGTGGTGTCGGCGCGCCTTTAAACCTCCGACCCTTCAGCCCAGATTGCCGCCAAGTCGATATTTCCTCAGTCAAGGTCTTATTAGCGAAGATTAAAAAAATCCTGTTGAAAAGTTAACTAAACATAATAATAGGTTAATTAAGGATCATTGAACTATTTATGATCAAAATAAGTTTATTCTACAACTTCAGCCGGTTTAAAGAGGAGCAGGTTTTCTATGAACGGTTTTCATATGGCAAGTTTTCTTTGTACAGTACAACAAAGTTTCTATGACAATTTTTTTGTTTTCTAGGTAACCTCCACGATAGTAATATATTAGATAGTAATATATATTTCAAGTACAATTTGGAAAAAATATGCACGAGTGAGTTTTTCAAAGACGATCAGATCTCTGAAAAACTCACGAGTGTATGTTTTTGTTTTTTTTCAAATTGCACGAGAAACCATACTATAACTTATTAATAATATACATGAAAAAATTATGCAGTCACTCCTAAAAACTCTTATATGTTGGGGCTTTTGTATTATTTCTGCTGGAAATAGAAGATTCCCCTTACGTTTTCGTAGCGCTTTGCATTGTGGTTCTAGTGGTATCACTGATATTCAAGATGGCTTATTTTTTGTTGTCCTGACCCGTGCAAGAACTTTTAAAAAAGCTAGGGTCAGGTGCACGATATCCAGCAGCAAAATATTCGCGAAAACATTCAATGTTTTTATTCGATGCCGCTATCTTTATCAGTGATACCACTATAACCACAATGCAAAGCGCTACGAAAACGTAATTAGGGGAATCGTCTATATAGCTCTATCTTATTGGCTATCTTTGTTATTGTTTCAAATTTTAAGCCAATCAGAAAGCGTAAGTAGTCAATCAAAATTTGCACAGCATGTATTTCTTTTTTGCACCGTAATTCATTTTTTGGCACTGTATTTCGATCAAAACCTAGCATACTGGCTTTTGAACAAGTTTACATGTCATGGTAAAGATTGAAAAAGTTGCCTATACAAGACAAGCAAATATAATTTGTCATATGAAAATTTGTCATATATAGTGAGAAAACTTGCTCGTCTGTAACCGGCTTTAATAAAAAATTCTTAGAGTTCAGACTTTATATTCTCAGTCCTAGGACGTCATAGAAAATTTATATACACTCTCAGAACTTGGGTAAAATTTTATCTGATCATTTAATCAAAACTTTACCAGACCTATACGACTTGATCAATATTTTACCCAGTTCTAACACTTAATCAAAACAGTATGTATATGAATGTATATGTGGTCATAGAAATTGTTTAGAACGTTACCTGGTCGTAGAATTCCTAGAACTGAATCCCAGTTCTAATAATTAAATCCTTACTCTGGGTCAGAGTGAAGGTTCAGAGTACTGACTCAGACTTCACTGACTTTTGTTGTCTAATATACATTATCCAGCTTTCCGCGAAAGACGCTGGTCGTTAATTTACGTTTTCGAGTGTCTAATATACTTATATAGTAGTAAATTAAAGGAATATCTTCATTTGTTTTTGTAATATAAAATTAATGAAACGTGTGTTAAATAGATAAATGTTAAGAGTACATAAACGATTTTTTGTTAGTATGTTTGTTAAGAGTACATAAACGATTTTTTTGTTGATATAATTTGAGAACATTTTTGTTCATTTTAAGTTGTGGGTAGATCTATATTTGGTATGGTATGGTATGGTATGTATGGTTAACTGGATGGTTTATTTTTTGTCACGTGATGCTTTTATATTCTTTGTACAAAAGCACACGTAATTTTATCGACCCCCCACTGGTAGTAACTCCAGACAAAGGGCCTTCGCTCGAAACGTCGAAATTCTCCTTATATATTTTTCAAGTGGTTGCTTCCCTACCAAGGAAAGCTTGTTCATATAGTTTAGTATATAATATGGTATGCTATAGGGTAGTATGGTATATATGGCATTGTATAGTTTAGTATAATATGGTATGGTAAAGAGTGATCATATAGTCTTTCAAAACATGGTTTGCAAACTCCGCTAAAGTCTTTGTTCTATCTTTTTGTTCCCTTTGTTCTATCTTTTTGTGCACGGTGAACGGTCTGAACACATTGTATTTTAGTTATTCCGGTATAAATGAACGAACCATCCAATAGCAACGTTTCAGTTCAGTCATTCAAGCATGCTATTTAAATATTAATAAACCTAAAACAAAGGATGTGCACGGTGTAAGGTACTGCTCAACATAAACACACAGCTCATTATGACCGCTTTGAAGTTTACTGAGTTTCCAGACCATGTCTCGAAAGACTATGGTGTGATGTTGCATGGTATTGTATAGTGTGGTATGTATGGTGTGATATTAGGGCCATTTATACGAGACAAAATAAGACGCGACTTACATAAGACGCGACTTAAATAAGACGCGAGTTTGTCGTATAAAAGGCACAAAATTCTTATGTAAGACGCGTCTTGGATAAGACGCGTCTTACATAAGAACAGGACTTTTAGCTGTTCTTATTTAAGTCGCGTCCTAACTAAGATATTTTAGACAAAAATCCTAACTACACATGCCCGAAACATGAAACAACGTAAAATTATTAGCCTTGCATATTAAAACAAAAACAACCGAAACAACATTATAGCTATAGCAAGTAAATAAGAATAAAGCCGTAGAGAACCATTTATGCGATAACTCCACTTATTTAAGTCGCGTCTTATGTAAGTCGCGTCTTATTTTGTCTCGTATAAATGGCCCTATTGTGTAGTGTGTTAGGTATTGTATAGTTTAGTATAGTGGGAATTTAAAATTCTTCTAATCATATGAAGGAGCATAGCTGCATAAAAAATTACGAATTAGTCGTATCAACAGTTGGAAGAAAAATTGTTCAACTGAGTCCAGAGCAACGAGTTTGCTTGAATTAATCGGCATATAATTACAAGATGTTGGACGGAACCAAACTAAAGTTTTACAGTAAATAACTTCGTCATGCATAAAATTGACTTCTATGATAAGTTCAGCATAGTGCTATGGATTCAAATTTCAACAATAACTTGATTTCTAAATTTCAGAACCCTCAGAAATACGAAAAACCAGTTTCATATTATTCTGACACTGCAATGGGCGACTTGCGCTTTAGACTAAATTTTAATCTAAGTAAGAACAACGAAATCTATCACCACAGCTAGAAAGAGCGTCTTGGAATTAGTAATATGACAAAGTTTGGTTGCGAAATGTTGTAAAATACGGAAAATATAGCCCTTCAAAGTTGACAAATTTGTATACTTTTGTATTACGCCTATTACGTGCGTGAATTGGTAACTAAATTAGTTACCAATTTCCGCACGTAATAGAAATGTATACAAATTTGCCAACTTCGCAGGGCTATATTTTCCGTATTTTACAACATTTCGCAACCAAACTTTGCAGTTTTTCTAATTTTGATAACTTCTTTCCGAAAATATCCTTTGTTATTCCCAGATTAAAAATTTTTCTAAAGCGCAAGTCGTCCATAGACCAACGAAAAAAATGCGAGTTCAAATCCCGCTCGAACCAACGAATTTTTCGTTGGTCTATTGCAGTGTCAGAATAATATGAAACTGTTTTTTTTTTATTTCTTATTCAATGTGATTATTTTTTAAAAGCTCTCTCCGCCCTTTCAGCCCGCAAATACAGCCTGCTGCGCTGCCTGCGCAGGCTAACTGTGCCGCGGGAAGCGATATTGCGTAATACTTCATGTCGTTCAATGTGTCGTCCTTTTATATCGTTTTAAGTTGTTCATGTCATGGGCTATGGCTGGTAGAAAAGACGAGTTATGGGATGCAAGCCGTGATCGGGATAGCATTCATGTTTATGTAGAATGTGAAGAAAACGACGGTATGATGACGAGCTCGATTTCGACGACGAAATTCCTTTGGATCTATCTTCTTTGGCACCGACAGACGAATGGTAAGCCAATGTTTTAGTATGAGCCATATTTCAACGATTTGACTGCTTCTTTTATAACTGCTGGTTTCTTTATAAAATCGAGCAATTTTAGCTTCAAAAGCTTGGTGTATAAAGCATTGAAAGCTTGAAGTATTGCCAAAAGCGAGGGAGCATTAGCTCCCTGTTTACGGCAAGTTTTCGAGAGCGAGTTTAAAATTTATGACAGCTTTTGGCAAGCGAAATTGTTCGACTATTAAAACAGCAGCATAGAAGTCAAATGGCGAACTTTAATACCGAAACGAAATAGTACGAATGTATTTGAGTTTCTAAATACTAGCCTTGTTTAAATTTGGCAAGGATGATGGACGGGGAAAAAGCTATAAAGTTATAAACATCTAAAGCACGACAAGCTAAGCATCAATTGTCAACAGAAAGTTTGTCTCAAATTATGGGCGTCAAAAGTTGCAATTCTGTACATTCAAATGTCGTTTGATACATTTGTAGATCTAATTTTATATTTATCACCCAATACTTGTTGTTATAAGCTTCCATAAAAGTCGCATTTACGAGTAAAATATGCTAAATTTGGCGCAAAATGTGTTCGCATATGAACGCTTTTGAGTCGATAGTGGATTTGGGTGTTCCTGAAAAATTGTTTACTTTAGTATTAAAAGCGGCAAGTACAATTGCGAAATTTTGACAGTCAAAGTTCTTTGGTTCTGACTTTTTATTTGTTTATTTTTCAAGTTTCAGAAGAGCAATTTACATATGTAGTTTTTTATGATATAATTTCGAGCTCTATTGTTGTTCCTTGTTAGGTAATTTGACTTTTGCCATTTCCGTTTATGAGTACGATGCTCGTATTCTCAGAACAGGAAGTACCTTTGTTCGTATACAATTTGGGACTCGAGGTGGCTGGCAGGTCGCATTTTGTACCAGTTAATACAAATAACTAATAATTGTTTGGGGGGTTTTCATGGAAGAAAGTTGAAAGCAAAATCTGTTTACATGTGAAATAAAAAGTGGGCACAGTTGATGCATTGCAGCTTATTCTCGATTTCAGGCGCGGTTTTATGTTTCTCAAATTTCTCAACATGCTATAATACTGTAATGTGATTATCTTTACTCCTCTGAGCTGTTGGAATCCCTGTTGAGCTGTGTTAATAAATACCTGTTCGATAATAAGCCCATGGGCTTATACATGGGGGGCTTACAGTATATTCAGAATGGCCTTGAGCATAATTAGCGAATATGGTGGGCTTGTACGCAGGGGGGGGGGGAGCCTATATTCGGGGGGGGGCTGTGTTTGGAAGTTTATGGTAGCCAACAAATGTGACAAATTATTAAAGTTTTTAAGAAATATGTTTAATTTGTTGGATATTTTAGTATGTAAAACACTGTAAATTACAAGTTTATGTTTAGCACTTCAGTATTTTAGTAAGCAACTTGCAAAGTTGGCTTTGTTAGTTCCACTCCCAATATTCCAAATTTGGAAACAAATTTAGGAATATTCACAACAATCTTGGGAACCATGCTTTGAAAAGTGACCAAAAGTTGACAATTTGACAATAATGGGTTAAAAATCTGGTTAACCCTTTAAGTGGCAATGTGCCCAGATGTGCCCTACTTTATTATTTTACTCTGTCTAATGCCAGACGATTTTACTCGTCAGGGGGAGAGTGCTGCCACTCAATGGGTTAACAAATTAATGTCCATATCTGTTATGCACTCAGGTGAAGATGTATGCAGGTAAAAATTATTGGTGTTACAGAGAGTATATAACAATTTTGGCTTATTGGGTCACCTCCCCATTAAGAGTGAAATTGTCTGCTGTTATAGACAGAGAAAAGAGACTTCAGGGTGCATTGCAAATGTGTTACAAAGGGGAGACATGCCCACAGATGTCACTGAAGTCTGCAAATACAGGGATGCTGGAATGACATTAGAGCAAGGGGGGGAGATTTTTTTTGGGGGGGAGGGGGCACTTTCAAACAGGTTCATAAATTTCGAGTTCTTTCTCTCCCTCCATACCCCACCATTCCCCCCCCCCCCAACAAAATTTTTGGGAAATGTCAAAACTTTAAATTTGAAGCTACTAAAATTTTGTAGTCAATTCGATACCTACAACAAACCGGTACATTTTCCCCAATGATTCGCAATTTACAGAACATGCAATGGTTTTTTAATGATTTTTTAAAACATTTTAAATATTTCTCTAAAATCAAAAAGGGGGCACCTTTGCCCCCTTTTTTCCCCTTAGAAAAGAGTAGGAGGGGCGATGCCCCTCCTGCAGCACCCCCTCTCCGGCATCCCTGTGCAAACACATAAAAATTCAATCATGTTTATGCCCAACATTTGCAACCACGCCTACATGTTTTTGCATGTTTACAATTCTAATTTTAAATTAGCCCATTGAGTCGCATTGCGCCCATTACTTTATTATTTTACTCTGTCTAACGCCAGACGATTTTACTTTCAAGGGGAGAGCACAGGCACTTACAGCTAAACTACATGAAGCGTTCCTCTTTTGAGTTCCTAACTCATTTGGAATTTTCATAATCAGCTTTGCAAATTTGAAAAACTCTTTGCAAATCCTTGAGGGAATTTGCAATTTTCCTGTCGGCCGTTGCAATATTCCAACGCAAAGAAAGTTCCTTTCAAATTTTCCTAACTTCCTGTTTTAATTTCCTGACTTCCTGTTCTGTTCTGAGCGTTTTCATTGGCGGATTGTTTTTGTTAGCCAATTACAACGCGCAGAACAGAACAGGAAGTTAGGAACTTGTAACAGGAAGTTAAGAACTTCTAACAGGAACTAAGAAAAATTTATTTGGCTCTTAAGAACATTGCAAATTCCCTCAAGGGATTTGCAAGGGAGTTTTTCAAATTT